TCTGTGATCTGCTCCCCACGGGAATCGATACCAAATGTCAAATAGCTATCTTTATATGATCACTTTTCTCTTCCTTTACAAAAGATTATGTTTGTTTGTTGTTAAGCACAAAGCTACACAATGAGCTAGCTGTGATCCGCTCTCCACGGGGATCGATACCTGATTTTTAGCGTTATTGTACGAAATAGTATTTGAAACTCTTTGGTTCTCTAGTTTACACCCGCATAAAATAAAAAAATCTTTCAAAATAATCCAATTTAGATCATCTCATAAAAATATGTTTGAAATTGTTTAACTATCAAAACAACTTAACAAAACTGTTTCACGATCTTTATCTTTCCAGTATAAATCATCTTACAAAAAAATTTTTGTTATTATTTATTTTTTTTGTTTAAACAGTTTTATAAAAATATGTTTGAAATTGTTTAACTATTCAGATAAGGTTTTAAAACTGTTCAAAAAATATATTTAAAATAATTTAAGACCTAATGTCATAAATTTTACTCATGAAGTAGAATCTCACAACTATCTTCATGTTTTTAATGTTAACGCAAAAAGAGAAAACCATAATGTTACAACCAGTACATACAGGAAATCCATGTGTAATCATCATGCCACCACACATAAGATCCAGTCACCCCTTGTAACATCTTCTAACAACCAGTATATACAGGAAATCCATGTGTAATCATCATGCCACCACACATAAGATCCAGTCACCCCTTGTAACATCTTCTATGTCACTTGTGTAAACCCTTCTATATAACCCTCAAAAAAGACTTACAAGCTGAATTGAACCACTTAAAGAATGTAGCACTATCTAGAGGTTTCAACACCGACATCGCATATAGGGGTTGTATTAAACTAAAAAAGAATATTATGTTAAGTCTTTCCACTATCGAAAACATGAAAAATTATTTCATTCCCTTTTATGCCGTAATTACTAATGAAGTTATCAGCCTATTTAATAACTTAAATATTCACGTAAAAACTGTATTCAAACCTTCACATAAAATCAACACCGTATTATTCATCCGAAAGGATCCCTACTAAAAAAATAAAAGCAACCCATTCGAATGTGGGGAGAAATACATAGGATAAATGTCACTTTCCTTGGAAATATGTGGTGTTCTGTGCGTTATTTCCTAAGGAAAGTGACATTTGTCCTATGTATTTCTATCGTGGTGGTCTGTGCGTCATATTTCCAAGGAAAGTGACATTTGTCCTATGTATTTCTATCGCGACGCACAGAACACCACGATAGAAATACATAGGGCAAATGTCACTTTCCTTGGAAATATGACGCACAGAACACCACGATCACACGCGTAGAAGGGATTTTCAGTTATCCGCTTTAACATATCATCAATATGAAACAGGTCACCAAATATTTTGGGACAAAATTCTTCTCCTACACCAACCGAAAACTAAAAAGGAATGAGACAGTTTAGAAACTATAGAAATCGTCAAAGCAAGCGATCTCTCGCTAAACCGTAATGATAATCATAGTAATATCAATCGTTCTTGATAAAAGTCTATTCACTTGACCAGCTTTGACCTTGTCCTTATCTAAAATCCTATCACTAGATGACATCACGTCCATTATGTTAAAGCATTGTGTATTTTGTCTTTGTACTTATACATAAACCTTGTATACTTAGTTACAGGTCGTACCTGAAGAAGACAAACTAACGTTCTGTCGAAACACTTAGTACGTTTTCCCAAAAATAAATCACATAATTATGCTTATAACCATTTTTGCCAACTTATTATTATTATTATTATATTAGCATATTGTGCTTCCATACACAAGTACCTGAAACCTATTAAAATGTAGGCCCAACCTAACATTAAAACAAGGAATTCTGTAAAAAAAAATTATAACTTAGTATGCAGGCTCTTATAATTTAATTTTCTCTTGAACAGCACCATATACGACACATAAACTAAGCGGCCATTCATAGACTACTGATCAAAGATAGGATAATCAGTCAGAATGACCTGCTGCCTACGTAGTTACTCCTAACTAAATAGCGTGGCTGACTGTCACGATTATAACACCCTGACATCTGAAAGTGCGGAATATGCTCCTTTTGAACATGGATATTCCTATGTGAAGCCTACTACATTAACATAACCCATACGTGATTCAAAATTTTGGGATTTGGTCTCTTTAAGCCCCTGTATGTATACATATAATATATATATATATATATATCGATATATGATGTATATATCTGTGAAGCATCATAAAGTTAGTCTGAATCCAGCAACATGGGTGTATTTCTATCCCTGGTTGCACGCGTTACAAAAAGTATGATTTACTCCATCATAATGACTAACCTATTCAAAGGCTTATATGACATAAATTAGATTAGTAAACGCTTATGACAGTTTGTTTGTTTTAGTACAAAGATACACAATAGACTTTCTTCTTTCTGTTAATCTCGGTAAATAGAACCTGTAGTTTAGAGTTATAAGCCTGTAAACTTACCACTGACCCGCCGAGAGATGATACAGAGGAAGACACTAGACAGGGTCAAAAGAAAGGGCTAGTTTTCGGTTATTACTATTAACGTTCGGTTTAAAACTTAATATGTATTGTGTTTTAATAAAAGTAGCTGATGGTACCCTAATGAAGTCACTAGATATTTATTGCATACCCTGCTTTGTGAAAGGTTTTTTATAACTGACTCATTTAATATATTAAGTACTTTTGTCTGTAATTTCAAAACTAAAACTCTATAAAGAAATATAAATATGCCCTATTTCAGGAATTCATTCTAAAACAAAAGAGCCCATGTGCACCAATGGACAGTTTCCAGTTACGATACTTAAGCCATCCAACTGTGCTTGATAGATGCTAACACATATACACACATAATGAATCGTCTTTATAGTAAGATGTTTAGAATTATTTACCCAGACTATTTATATCGTTCCTTACAGCTTAAATCACAAAGAAAATTTGCAAAGGTGTGTCATATGTAAAAACAACTATAAAACGAGGAAGTCCACACACTTTTACAGTGTAATTTAGTAATTACTTTTACAGTGTAATTTAATTGTATCCGCTATTTTTCTTTCTTTCTGTAAATATTCCGTCTTCGTATAATCCAAAATAGTTTCTTAATCAGACTTGGATCTACGAACGAGATCACGAGCTTATGTTCGTGTCACTTGGTATCAGATCAGTGATATTTTAATAAAAGGGACGATTAAAAAGCGCGTTACCTCTAGGTGACAAAGGAAATTGGTAGATACGTTTCTAAAGTTCAACATAAAACTTTATCAACTGAACACTTCATTTATCATTGCATTGATTGAATAGACTCAACGCCATTGTAATACCAAATGAATTTGGTTACTCAGAATCATATATAAGTAACTGTCTATTATATTATATTTTGACCGATTTGCAATCAATTCTTTATTCATTATGACACGTTTCGATAAGATTACTAACTTTAATCGTACTTTATCTGGTGAAAACCTCATTGGGCCGCTCAAGTCATGTTATTTTTGAAACAACCTAAAAAAAATGTTACTTGATAAAACCCGAACTTTACGTGATTATTATCATAATAGAAGTCGTGGTTTATATGTGAGTATTGGGTGTTGGTTTAATTAACTTCGATGTCACATTTAGACTAAACATTATTCTAGCTCCATAATGAACTCGAAGAAAAACTGAACGGACTAAGTTGTGAAACTTTACATCAGTAGACAGTACTAGCTTGTGAAACTTCACATCAGTAGACAGTACTAACTTGTGAAACTTTACATCAGTAGACAGTACTAGCTTGTGAAACTTCACATCAGTAGACAGTACTAACTTGTGAAACTTTACATCAGTAGACAGTACCAAGTTGTGAAACTTTATACCAGTGAACAGTACTAACTTGTGAAATTTTACTTCAGTGGACAGTACTAGCTTGTGAAATTTTACATCAGTGGACAGTACTAGCTTGTGAAATTTTACCTCAGTGGACAGTACTAACTTGTGAAACTTTACATCAGTAGACAGTACTAGCTTGTGAAATTTTACATCAGTGAACAGTACTAACTTGTGATATTTTACCTCAGTGGACAGTACTATCCTGTGAAATTTTACCTCAGTGAAAGATTCTATATTGTGAAACTCAACATTAGTGGACGAACTAACTTGCTAAAATGGACGACACTAGCTTGTGAAATTTGGATCATTATTTGATAGTATTTACCAACTAATGTTAGAAGTGTAAGTAAACTGCAAAGTAATACATATTATTTCATAAAAACTGTTGTTAATGTCCGAAAAAGGTAAGAGACTGATCCCTTTAAAATTTCGGGTATTTCTTTAACAACTTATGAGCAATAAGTGTCAGTTGTTTACATGCTCGATTATTTCTGGGCTCATCAATAATAAGTGATAAATATTTACATGTTCGTTAATTTCTGGACACATCAATAGCAAGTATTAGCTATTAACATGTTCGTTAGTTTCTAACCTCATCAATTATAAGTGGTAGATGTTTATACCTTCGTTAGTTTCTGGGCTCATCAACAATGAGTGATAGACGTTTAAATGTTCGTTAGTTTCTGGACACACCAACAATAGCCATGTCCGTTAATTTCTGGGTTCATCAACGTTAAATTACTTGTTTACTTGTTCGTTACTTTCTGGGTTCATCAAGAACAAGTTTTAGCTGTTTACATGTTCATTACTTTTTGAGTATATCAATAGTAAGTATTAACGGTTTACATGGTCGTTAGATTTTTCCTCACAACATATTTGAAAGTGATAACAACTGAAACTGTCAATGTTTTCAAGGCTTCAGTGCCTTTGGAAATACATTTACTGAATTATAAACAAAATTTCAACAAACTAACTTATATGTAACTATATAATAGCTAAATAATTACAAATTAACATTTGGATTTGTTTTATTTTACTTTTATCCTAAACGTGTTTTGTTTTTATATTTTTCGCAGACTTTATTACAAATTGAAAAAATAAAATGAAAGACTATGGAAGCACCGGAAACGCCGTTCTACAAGAACAAGAGCACAGTAAGAGAAGGGTTACAGGTCATCCCTCAAAAGATTCAACAACATTTGGATCACCTTTTCAGAAAGTTCAATTTGCTGGTGTTGGAATTCTACTAGCCCTTGCATGCCCGCTTTTTTACTCCACCCAAACTATGTTTTTCAAACTCATTCCGAATCTCACCAAAGAAACTATTTTAATCTACCGTGGAATTTACATGACTGCTTTCAGTTGCCCTTTTATCATTCACGATAAACAGTCATTTTTTCTGAAAAGTCCCATTCAATATTTCATGGTAGTTGTTAGAGGGTTTGGTGGAACTGGAGCGGCAGTGTTAATGTACAACTCGCTGAATTTTCTGCCGCTGGGTGACGCCACCGTCCTAATGATGACAGAAACTATTTTTACAACGCTGCTTGCCTTTATAATTCTTCGAGAAAAGGTGGTCTTTATGGATATATTAGCCATTATGATAGCCATGACAGGAATTATCTTGATTGCTCGTCCACCGTTTATATTTAGCAGCCTAGGAGAGGATCTGGACCCCAAAGCTCAACTTACTGGCACTTTATTGGCTCTTGGTAGTGCTGTATGTAATTCCGTGTCGAATATAATTATACGAAGAATGTCATTTATTCACTACGGAGTAATGATATTCTACTATTCTATTTTTCAGATTATAATATTGTCTATCTACGTATTTATACATGGAGATAAAGTTCTCTCTGACTGTGGAGCGATTTCTTGGCTAATTTTTGGAATCGGCATTACAAGTTTCGTGGCTCAGTATTTTTACACTAACGCCCTCTATGTTGAGAGTGCCGCTTGTGTTTCTTTAGTTCGTTCATTAGAAATTGTCCTTTCTTTAATTTACCAAGTAACTTTAGTTGGTGAAGAACTCACTTTATTAAGCGGATTGGGGGCACTTTTCGTTACTTTAGCTGTAGTAATTAAGGCGTGTGTTAAATGGTATACTGAAAATCCCGCTCATTTCCTCAAAGGTTTAAATAAACTAGGTTTCGGTTGTTTGATCAGCAATAAGTTGTCTGCTAAATATCTTCTTCAAAAAAACGAACGCAACGATAATAAAAATACTTAACTAAAACCCCAGACGAATTAAAAGACAACCACTTCCATATTTTGATTTGTGCATGGTTTTTGAGCAACCATTACTTTAAGAGAACATTATATAATCTTCTCTTCCTCCAGTAGTTCAACAGTAAATCTGGGTGAATATAACGCTAAAAATCGGGTTTCGATACCCGTGATAGGCACAGCTCAGAAAGTTCATTGTATAGCCTTAGGCTTAACAACTAACAAACAGACAAACCTCTATTCAGGTTAAAGAATAACATCTTTATAGCACATTCTTTAAAAAGTTCGGTATTGTTCTAGAACCGTCCTGGTTGGTTATCAATTATAAATATATATTAGAAAGAATGCTGTTATTAATTTGTAGCTCTACAAACACTTTGTTAATACTCGTTGTTGAAAACAATAGTACTATGTTAATGTACGTTAAAGTGTTTAAACTAGTTTAAAAATATAAAACTTCTGGCCGATTCTTCGGTTAATAATGTTTACTATCTTATTAAACTTTACGATAATTTAAAATCATGGGTATTTCTCTATGGATAAGGTAATAATATCAGTGACCTAAAGTCGGTTGCATAACAAAATGTTTGAGATCCTCTATCTTCAAAGTCGCTATCCAACAATGGCCTGTTGGCCTTAAGTGAGACTGTCTGGCGCCCTTCAACGATGGCCTGGTGGCATTAAGTGAGAATGTCTGGCGCCCTTCAACAATGTCCTGGTGGCTTTAAGTGAGACTGTCTGGCGCCCTTCAACGATGGCCTGGTGGCCTTAAGTAGGACAGTCTGTGTAAAAATATGGTGTGGAAATTTAAATAGTAATATTTCACGATACAAGATAAACTAATTATTCAATCACTCTTTTTTACCATTCAATAATACCGGTCGTATTAAATATGGTAGCCAACAAAACTTATCAAAAATTCAAGGAAAAAATTGTATTACCAATATATGTGGTTAATTAGAAGATCCCCATAAAGTCAGCGATAAGTTTACGGACTTACAACTCTAATATGCAGGGTACGATTCCCCGTTAGAAACAGATCTCAGATAGCCTACTGTGTAACTTTGGGCTAACCAAACTTAGATGTTTTACCAATATCTAAACCCATGTCTTTCAACAGTAGAATCGGACTCAGTAACTACAAAGCATATATTACACTTTTAAATACAGAAATATAATTTACGATTTCACTCAATGTTTCAAGTGTTTTTATTACTAAATTCAGTATGTCAATGATTTTAATGTTTTATTTATAATCATGGGATGTTGATTTGTGATTTCATTCAATGATTGTAGTGGTTTTATTTATAAGTACAATATATTAATTTAAGATTTCATTAAATTTTTGTAATGTTTTGATGTACCAATGTCGAAAGAGCCAAAATAATTAAATAATGAAAATACTATCTGTTTGACTTTTGCCTTAAAAACCTAGTTTCGATACCCGTGTTGGGTACAGTACAGATAATCCATTGTGTACCTTAGCGCTTAACAACAAACAAAAGTTACGGTTCAGGTTGAAAATACTGATGACAGTAAAAATTGCTTTTTTTACTTTTTTCTTCAAATTATCATTTTAGATATATTTTATTTCATTCTATGTGAAATTATATTTAATCTTATTCGGGGCCCCCCAGTGGCACAGCGGCATATCTGCGGACTTACAACGCTAGAAATCAGGTTTCGATACCGTGATGAGCAGAGCACAGATAGCCTATTGTGTAGCTTTGTGCTTAACTACAAACAAACAAAGAGAGTCATTCTCTGTAGAATCTTCGACAATCACGGCCTTCGTTACTAGATATTGTAATAAGATAATTTAATCTATAAAATTTTAACCCTCTTTTACCTCATAGTATATGTAAAATTAGTCTAAATATTTTATTAGCAAAATATATAGTGTGAGTAGGTGTAGAATCTACATGAGCATAACTTTGCATTTCTAGGTCCTGGAGCTTTTGATTCAAGGTTAAATGTTATAAATAATAGTAACTACAGGTTCAATAGTCTATAAGAGCGTATTTACTCAGTTGTATTAAGCCTCGTATTACCTATGAGGTCCATAAGGACAACTTCGGTTCTATCAAGACATTTTTCTAAACATTTTATGCGCCCACTTGCTTGTCGGTTTATGATTAGCCTGCAGTAGTTGAACAGCGAGATTATTTTGGGCTTGTTGTGCAAGATTTTTGTTAGTTGAATTTCTCAAATAGCTGCCAGAGGGCTCTGTGCTAGCCGTCCCTAATTTAGAAGTGATAGACTAGAGGGAAGGCAGCTGGTCAAGAGCACCAACCCTCTTGTTCCTCTTTACTAAAGAAAAGTGGAATTGACCGTCACATTATAACCCACCCAAGACTGAAAGGAGCGAGCATGCTTGTTGACATAACCAGCAGTCCATGCCAGGCCAGGCTCTCGAGATAATGATATCTTTGTTGAATATTACAACCGTTAGGAGGTGCTGTAAAACATTGTGTCAAATAGTTATCAACCCGTGCAACTGCTATTTTCTACGCTTACAATGGTATTATTATCTAGTGAGCGTCATATTTATTTCTTTAGTTATCTCAGCCAAGTTGAGTTCATTTATTTGCAGTACCATCTGTAGCTATACGATTAAACCAATGTTTATCATGTTTTATAATCTTTGATCAAAACTACCCATGAGCTATCTGCGGATAGCCGTCTGTAGTATTCAATTATTAGACTACAGGGAAGGCAGCTAATCGACGGCACTCTCCTTCAAATCTTACGCTTCTCTGTCACTCTTATAATGCACCTACGGCTCCGAAAGGCGGAGTGCGTTTTTAAGTCAGTGGAAAGCAAACCAGGAATCTTCAGCTTCACAGTCTCTGCACACTATCATCTAAACCACACCCGACCACCGACTAGAACAACGGATAGAACCCACGAACCACGTGTCAAAAGTCTGGAACATATTAGTGTCTTGCCTGTTAACTTGACCAAAAGAGGCTAGCGGCCTACATGTCAAAACGTCTAAACATCAGCTGTTAGAGTGTTAAATCTTTGACAGTCAATCTCACTATTTGGTTAAGATCAGCTACATTGGCGGCGAGTTCTTCTAATTGGTTGCCCTCGCTCCCACTCATCAGTAGTTGTAATCTTTTGACCTAATCATGTTCTACACAGATTATCGTTTAGTTTAAATTATTTCATCTCTATAAAATCCAAGAGACTAGTATCTGTGGGTCAAAGGTCATTTAACGGACTGGCAATTCTGAAATCCAGGATTCGATTCCCCGTGAAGGGCAAAGAGCAGATAAACTATTGTATAAGTTTGTGCTAAAACAAACAGACTAACGTCTTGCAAGTCGAAAGAAGTTCTAATGAGTCTGATATTGTAGAATTAGGGTAAATAGCATGTTACCTATTAGTCAGGACAGAAAGTGAGTGTTCTAAGAATTGAAAAATCAAGAAACAGAAGAAAGTTATTATAAATACTTTAAACTAATGTCAGTACTTTTAAAGCGAATATTATTAGACTGGAAATTTTAATATATAATTTGTACTTCCAGCTAAATGTTCTCCTCTATTATTCAAGTAATACGGATGTGTTTTACGGTCAGGATATGACTTGGGAACGTCGCGAATATTATTAGACTGGAAATTTTAATATATAATTTGTACTTCCGGCTAAATTTCTCTTCTATTATTCAAGTAATACGGATGTGTTTTACGGTCAGGATATGACTTGGGATCGTCGCGAATATTATTAGACTGGAAATTTTAATATATAATTTGTACTTCCGGCTAAATGTTCTCTTCTATTATTCAAGTTATACGGATGTGTTTTACGGTCAGGATATGACTTGGGAACGTCGACATTGATGCAATTTTAGACTTCATATTGAGGTTTTTTGTCCAATTGCAGACGATTTCTTACACAGTGATCCTTTTAACTCGTTACTGAAAACACTTTCTGGTTTGAACGAAAAGAATGTTTCAGGATGGAATCCGGAACGTTGTTACGAATCTGTTTGTGAGTGATGTTGCTATGCCTACGTAACATTTCAAAAAGTCCTCAACATCAAAATTTGCTTTGATATAAAGTTAAAAGTTACAGAATAGAATCCGAAACGTTGTCAAGAATCTATTCATTACTGATGTTTCCATGCCTATTTAACACCTCAAAAATTATTTAATACAAAAACTTGCTGGGATCCTAATTAGAAAGTTTCAGAACAGAACCCGAAACGTCGTCCCTGTGAAGAATCTATCTATGAATGATGTTCCCATGTCTATTTAACATCTCAAAATACATTAAAACAAAACTACAATAGTTCCCTGAAAATAATATATGTTCTAATTTTCGTTTTTGAATATACAAGTGAATTTATTCTTAGAGACTTCATATAAGTTATAATAATGACGTCTTTCTTTGAACTAGGCAGTTGTTGTACTGATATTATTAGGTTAAACTATTCTCTGATAGTGGTTTGTATGACATAGTCTGGTAATTTGTTGTTATGGGTTTCGAATGACAGCTATAAATCTGAGAAATTATGTCATAAGAACGTAATCATTATTAGATCTATAAATATACATATTTCATAAGAAATAAATAATAACAATAAAATAATAAAAATAAAAGTAACATATGAAGCATGTAATGGCACGGTCTGTTGTTGGAAGTTTCAGTGAGATAGGTAGTTGTGCGCAGGATCTCTGGGCTGTTGTTGGAAGTTCCAGTGAGATAGGTAGTTATGCGCAGGATCTCTGAGCTGTTGTTGGAAGTTCCAGTGAGATAGGTAGTTATGCGCAGGATCTCTGGGCTGTTGTTGG